TGTCAAATATCCTAGACATTTATTAATATTAGATAAGTCTAAAGTAAAATAAAAAAAAAAAAAAAATAAAATAAAATTATGAATCTACTTAGGATTGAACTCACGGTGCAATCATGGCCCGTGAAACTAGTTTGTAAATCATGGTTTTATTATAGGTGATTTATGTCAATATTTTCTAAGCTCAGTTTACTGTGTCACAAGGTCACAATAGTGAGGAATTCAGTGTAAATCGAACTTACTATACTAATGTATGACAAGTTTGTTAAACATTGCTCTAGGGCAAGCGAACTGTAGCAAAATTCTTTATGTATATGAAGTGTTTAAATTGGTATAAGTTGCATGCGTATTTTTGTCTTTAAAACAAAAGCTACACTGGACATTCACATTAACACGAATATAAGCAAGCACAGTCACTAACCTAAGCAGGTAATATAAAATGCTTACATTTCTGTATATACGTATTTTAATATAAATACACCTATAATGTTACATAGACCTCTATATACTATTGTCAGTGCAGTTATATGTAGAAATCATGACAAACATACAGATATCTGTTCACATACGTAAACTTGGAACTATACGCATCATCACCTCGAGATAGTTGAACAGGAATATATATTCACACACTTATTTACACACACGTACACACAAATATCATTGAGCTTTATCCTGTTCAACACTGTTAACTGATCACCAAACTCACTCTTTTGTTCATTGCCAAATCTAATTTCTCCTGTCGGCTGCTAGAGGCTTCTTACCATTTCCACAGTTTGAAATGGTAGAGAATTATTCCCTATTTCCGTTTCTTCACAGACCTATAAAAGACCATGCCAATAACTGTCGCCTTTGGTGGTCAAAATTGGATGCGTTTAAGCGGCGTTCTGTTAAATATGTTTGGAGTAGACGGTGAAAGGGATAATGGCGGGAACTGAAAACGGGAGGTGGTAAGGTAGGGTGAGTATGGAATGGAATAACAACGCTGTAGCCGTCAGAAACTTATAAAACGGGGGTCACCGGTGGAATGACACGGACACACGATTGCTAACAATCTGTCTGTCAGGCTGGAGCTTGATGGACAGAAGAGTACCATTGGAAGAAGAAGAAGAAGGAGGAGGAGGAGGAGAAGGGGAGGAGGAGGAAGAAGAGATGGAGGAGGAGGAAGCAGAAGAAAAAGAAAACGAAAGATGAGGAGGAGGAAAAATAGAAAGGGGGAAGGAGGATAAAGAAGAAGAAGGAGGAGGAGGAGGGGAGGAGGAAGCAGAAGAAGAGATGGAGGAGGAGGAGGAAGCAGAAGAAAAAGAACACGAAAGATGAGAAGAAGGAAGAAAAAGAGAAAGAGGGGAAGGAGGATGAAGAAGAAAGAAAATGAAGGAGAATGAAAAATTATTAGAATAAATGAAAGCAAATACTCGATAAGCAAACAAAAAAAGAAAGAAAGAAAAATTAGTAAAAAAAAAGTATGTTAAATCTTTAAAAAGAATATCGACAAAGAGAAAATTCAACGTGTAGAATAGAAACAACGAAAAGCTACAAAGGGAAAAAAAGAACGAAAACTTGTAAACAAAGGGTGGAAAAGAAGTTATTGGACAATGGCAACAATAACAATAAAAACAGCAGAAGTAGAGAAAAGGAGATTGGAAACAATTTAGGGAAAGAAAAATTGACATGGGGTCAGAAAATGAAATTCTTAGAGATGAAGACAAGAGAATAACGAAATAAATATGATAAAAAGGTAAAAATGAAAGGACAGGGAGGTGAAAGGTTAAACATTGGAAAAAATATGTATCAGAAAAAGTCGGAAAGAGTTAGAAGAATAACAAGGGAAATAAAAAAAAGAAAGAGTTAGGAAAAAGAAAAGGGGAAATTTGAAGAAAAATGTAAGGAATGATAAATGAAATAGTAAAAATAAATTAATAATAATAGATTGAGTAGTACGAAAAATAAAAAAAAAAGTTGAAATATAGAGAAGAAAAAGAAAAAGAAAAAGAAGAAATACGAAATGGTGAAGAAGAATAAAATGAAAAAGCACAAACAATTAATGGAATTTAAGTCGCTGATAAAGGAATAAAACAAAGACTGAATAATAATAATAATAATAATAACGAATAACAATGAAAAATAAAATGATCGAAGAATGATGAGATAAGATTAATAATGAAAGAATGAAAGCGAAAAGAAGATGAATTAGACGAAAAAAATTATGAAAGAAATATGAAAATGGTGAAAAAGACGAAAATAATAATGGCAAGAAGAAAATATCTGACAAAAAAACTGATAGGTCTTTGAATGTTATAACACGAGGGTTACTGGTAGAACGACACGATTTCCCAATTTCAGCATCCTTTTTTTGTCGCTAGAAGGTTTGATGGAGAGTGACAAGGTCAGTGAGGTCAAAGGGCACATGTATTCCTCCGCACTCAGCATTAATGAGGGTGAAACGCCATCTGACCAATTACATTACATTATTGAGACGTGTCACCGGCCGTCGACTGGAAACTTAATCTACTTACTACGGGATATGAGGTGGGGTTTATGGCTCAGATGGTTAAACGTTACTCTTATCTGTATTAATTTGTAATGGAAAGGAAGAGGGTTGGCAATTAATTTTATATTGTTTTATATGAACTGACCACACCTCATATAACACTGTACGATAGTTTTCTTGTAGATAAAGAAGACGCTTATGACGAAAGCGATTTTTCTTGAACAATAGTGGATTGTTTTGTGAAAATGCCCGTACAGGTAATAATTCCACCAAATTTAGCACTTGACACTGCTTTCATTTGAAGATTGTGCAGCACCTTTTAGAAAAGCTATGTAGATTTTTTTTTAATTAGAAAACTGATCATCATTTGATTTAAACACTTTTCATTATCAGACCTTCCAATTTGTGGTTGAGGCCTTCCCCAATATAGATCATACAATGGGATTACTAGATTTTTCCCAACCACGCTATTTCATTGTGTGTTTGCAGAGGTTTTCAGAGTTGTCGTTATCATAAACTGTTTGCCCTGCCAAGTCTATATAGCACAGCCTGCTTTACTGTTTTCCCCTTAGTGGGAAATAAACGCTAAGGCACCCGCGTGTATACAGGTAAGTGGATCATACTGTATATAAAGAATTCGTATTTTTAAAACAATGAGGAAGGAAACCAATTTACTATTTTACGAGACTTTTTCCTCACATTTACCTGCCTTCAAGTGGTATACGAGGTGTTGTCCAAAAGTGAGGGCTATTCGAACAGATTTATTACTCTAATCATCTCTCAAGTGTTACCAATGTCTGATCGTACATTTCACACAGGCTGTAAATATCTCCTGGCAACCGAATTATGAAGAGGCCGAGATAGGGTGACTGAGAAATTGATTGATTGTTGATATATATGAATTAGTTTACTCATGCTGCAAAAAATGACGGCATATTTTGTTAAGTTATTATTATTAAAAAGTCTTTCATTCGGTAATCTTCGAATATATTTTTCATATTAACCCCTTTCCCGCTAATTATTTTTTCGAAAAACGTATCATTTTCAGACGAATAACTGATGCACCTTCAAGTACCCTAGCGGTGGCAAACACCTCTACCCAGACGTACGAGTTGACAATTGGACTCATTTCAAGCTCAGATGGGCATAAAAAGAATCAAGATAAACTTATAAACACGTCTGCAGTTGGTTTTTAAACGTTATGTTTTGGACGTGTTTATTCGTCCGTGTCTGAAAAGGACACTTTCGGTAAAAAAAAAAACAACAAAAAAAAAAAACGTACATACAGGTAAAGGTGTTAATATATCATAATTCAGGGATGCTTAGTTTATGACTTAATAACAATAGAAAACTAGTTGCTAGTTTTATGCTTATTTGAATCATATATTAATACTAGTTAAGCCATGATTTTGAAAATAATGGTCTTGTTAAGTCCTGGTTTTCATATGTGTGTCTTTAAATATATTTATCCAATTATTATATAAATATATAGTAATTCACATATGATCATTTTATTATTTAATATCAATAGAAAAATGAGCCCTTGTTTTATGACCATTAGAATCTTATACTGATACTATTTAAACCAGGTATTTAAAAATAATGGCATATTTTGTCCTTATTATTATGAAAAATTCTCAGCTATAGACTAAACTAGCAGTAGAGTCCGGCGTAGCCCGGAGATGTAACAGTAAGAGATAGATCAAGTATCGACCATCATAAAGACTGAAAAATAAAATTGACAAAGATTATTGTTTAAAGTTGACGGACACGCATGTCTTTTTTTTTTGTTTGTTTTTGTTTTTACGAATTGGTCAAACCCAAACTCAAACAAAAACATTGTTTTCAATCGTTATGAGTCTCTCGATTGAATAGAATTTTATTACAAACAATTGTCTTGTAAATGGAATTTTTAAAGCATTCTAAATGTAAAAATAAAGAAAAAAGTGTGCAAGACAATAAGAAACACTACCTGCCAAAAAAAAAGTGAAGTTTTGTTGAAATCGGTTGAAAAATGTAGGAAATCCGATCCCATATATAAACGAACACACACACACACACACACACACACACACACACACACACACAAACAAACAAACAAACAACCTGGGTTTTATAATAAGTATAACTCGATATGAGTTGTCCCCCTTTCATTCTCACAGCGATGCCTCTTAATCGTGTTTTCAAATTGATTTCGTGCAAAAACAATTGTGTTTTTCCAATTTTTGGCGCTGTCAGAACCACCTCAAGGTAATTTTACGTAGTCCTGTGAAGTTTTGTTGAAATCGGTTGAAAAATGTAGGAAATCTGATCCAATATATAAACGAACAGACACACATACACAACCTGGGTTTTATAATAATTATGATAAAAGACTCTAGCCTCCCGAAATGAAAACTTCAAATTACAAACTATGGAAAAAAAGCAACGGGACACCACTCCAACCTTTTTTTTTAGTAGGATATAGCAGTTCACGATTATTAAAACAAAAGAGTCCTGAAGGCAGCGACATTGCTTAAAATTATTTCTTATGAGAAAATTTTCTTATGTGCGTTTTACATATATTTATCCAATTATTGCATTAATATGCAGTCATAGATATGAGATCAGTTTATTACTCATTAAAAACAGAAAATTGATCCCCCATTTTATATTCAGTAGGGTATTTATCAATATTTCTTAAACTAGTTGAAGAAGGAGCACCAGACCATGTGGTAGCAATATTCGTCTTTGCTTTAAATATTGCTTCTACATTTGGTCTGATTCTCCTGCTATACATTTAGAGATTCTTGATAAATTCAAAAAAGGACCACGAAAGTTATTAGTTCTGATCTGGCTCCTCGGCTTCAGTCACTTTTCCACCGTCATAATGTAGCTTCCCTGTGTCTTTTCTATAAAAACGTTCATGGTAATTGTCCTGATGAAATTTCCTCTGTGGTAATTAGACTTTATGAATTTAAGCACAGTACTAGATTGGCAACAAGGTCTCATAGATTTACAGCTGAAATGGTTAGATGTAACCGTAAGTTTTATACTAACAGTTTTTCTATCGCACTTCTTCCTTGTGGAACTCTTTTCCGGATTCTTGCCTCCCAAGATGTTCAAAATTTAGATGCAATGTCAATCGTTATCTTCTGTGTTTTTAAATCTTATTCTTTAATTGTCCTTTCTCCTTAATAATATTTTTTCTCATATTCTCTAACACTCAGTAAACATCTTGCGTCCTAGTGTTTTTATTGACTTGCTTTGGATGACATGATTAAAAAATGTCTTTGAAAGTGATAGCATATTTTGTTAAATTCATACTATTATCAAGTTTTCAGATGGCAGTCTTTAGAAAGGGGTGTGAAACAACGAAGCATCTTATTCTCAGATTTATTCAACTTCTGTTGTGACGCTATCCTAAGAGAACTGGGCACTCTAATAACATTTATTATTGGTGGGCGTAATATTAATAAGATACATAGGTGACACTATGTTCATGGATGACTCGGGAAGAAAACTACAGGACCTCCTAGACAGGCTAGTAGAAGAAATCGAAAGAATTTTGTTAGCGGCAAGAAAAGTGTGCTGGATTGCTGTGTAGTATCAATCCTCTTGTATGGCACTGAATATTGGATAGTCTCCCCATGGACGAGTAAAAAACTAGAGGCAGTAGAAATACGATACTGAAAATTCCATGGACGGAGCGAATAAGCAACAAGGAAGTCTTAAAGAAAATGGCAACAGAAAGCACAATTAGACTCAAAATCAGGAAAAGATAGCTGAAATTCCTTGGATACATAACGAGGAAGAGCGGTTTGGAAAACTTAATCCTTACGACGCATATTGAAGGCAAGAGAGATAGGGCAATACAGAGAGCCTGATTGGCTTGTATGAATAAACCACAAGGGATAGGAAGTTGTAGAAAGCTATGATCCCATATGTCCTGAAGAGACGCAACGCATAGAACATGAATGACAATAAAAAACGGATCCTTCGTTTTTTGCCTATTAGAATATTATATTAATACTTGCTAACTCATACCGTATGGTATAGTTTG